AAGAAAGATGAAATCATGAAATTTGCAGGTAAATGGATGGAACTAGAAACTGTTATACTAAGTGAAGTAACACAGACTCAGGAAAAAAATTGACATATGTTCTTCCTCATATGTGGATCCTAGAACCGGACCCTGATAAATGAGTATGTAACCAGACAACTACAGGAACCAGGATAATGCAAAGGAACCAGGGATGTAAAGGAAAAGAAAGAACCTGAAAGAGAAGAATAGTAGGAATAGGCCTTAGTAAGGGAGATATGGATAAAAATTGGATTAGTTTAATGGAGGGGAGAGGGAAAGGTATACAAGGAACCTAGGTGATAGGGGGAAAGAAGGAGCTCAAGAGAGGTAGGACCATAGGAGAAGGGTATTATTAAGGGAGAAAAGGGGGAAACAGGGGCACCTTAAGTGTGAAAACCATGATGTAGGGGTGAGACAATGCAAGAGATAAATAATGCCTAGCTAATTTGGAAAACCAGAGGGAGCCATATTACTCCTACCACCTACTGACAAATTATACATAAATCAAGAAATATGTGTCTTGGTAAGGTTTATCTGAGAACAATTTTTGCCCAAGATTTATCTACATGACACACAGTAATTAAAAGTACCAGAGTGGTGGAACTAACCTTCTTGGATGTTTAACACACATACTTTGAGGCCTATAATAATTTGTTCAGAGGGACATAAAGGACAGTTTTTGCTCCTTGCCCTCCTAGGTTGACTAGTTCCAGGGGACTATGAGCATCTCTCAAAACGTCCTGTAATTGTGGTGGGTCACCTGTCCTCTTGATCAAGGAGGCCGAGGAGACCCCATGAGATGGACGTGAACCAGTGTCCAGTCTACAAAGAGGAGGGTCAACACAGAAGAATAATTTCCTCCATGCTTCCAAGTGAATAGCCAACCATGGTCAAGCAGGACCTTTGACTTATCTTCACATAGGTGGAACTGGTAAAAGAAAGGAGCCAGGGGCGCCCCCTAAGCCCATGTGACCCCTGAGGAACAGATCCTCAAACAACCTTAAGAGTAAAAATAAATTGGTTTATCTGGGCCATCTGTATGGCCTTAAACACCCAAAAGGAGAGTATAACCAAAGATTAATAGGGCCAATATAATTTCTTAAGAGTCCATATGCATAGCTAAAGGCTACATAACAGGCTGACTGGATTCACCAGAAGGGCAAGTAGTGGGGAATGTCTGGGGATGCTGACAACACAGCAGACAGTAACAGGGATATCAGAGTATAAGGGCTCTATTGGGGGGAGGGAGGCTGTGGGAGGGTGCCATTGGGGAAGTGGGTGTATAGTTGAATAAGATGGTTTGGGATGTTCTGTGTAATACAAACACACACACACACGCAAACACACAAAAGAAATCAACAAATTTTTAAAAATGTATTATATTTGAGGAGGAAGCCTGGAAATTTATGTCATGTTAATTAGTAGAGGTAATAAACATTACCACTGAAATCTACCCGATGACTTTATAGACATACACTGGTACCAAGGATCCAAGTGCAACCGATTATGACTAGTAATAATCAGATACATACAGATTAGAGATGCATGCGCCAACATCTCAGTGTTAGTAGCAAAAACAATGAGTCTTTCTGCAAGGAACAATATATTCTAAAATGAAATGAAGATCTTTTTTTAAGGTTAAAAACTCACTCAATTTTATGTCTTTACATGGCTTATGTAGGAGGAAATGCGGCCTGGGCAGCCAGATCATGCTCGCAGCAAGTGTGGTAAAACATCTGGCTGAGGCAAATCTGTGTTCTGCCAAAAGACATAGAGACAGCTGATGTGAAAATGGCCTGATACATAGAGCCAATGAGGAACAGACACAGGCTATCAATGGACCAATGGGACACCGGGAGGAGGGATATAAGGAAGCCCCATATCCGCAATAAAGGAGTCTGCATCTGCACACACTGCCTGCTTCTCACCTGACTCCCGGTGTCTGTGTTGTGACTCCGTGCCGACTCTATCCCCACCCAGAGGGCCCCCAGACCCGTGCAACAGGCTTATACTGAGTTCAATATTGTATAACTGTATTAATTCAACTGTGAACGTAGAAACTTACAGCCACTTGTGAAAGAGATGTACTCTTGCTCTGGAGTGTGTTACTGAATATGTTAAAGCTGTAGTGAAATGCTTCTTCTACTCATGTAGTTATTAAAAAAATTATTTAAATGATAAAAAAATAATTCTTCAAAGCATAAAAATGTGTTCCTTAATAATTAGTAGAGGTGAAAAACATTATCATTGAAATCTACCTGATGACTTTATATCCATGCTCAGATGCCAAGGAGCTCAGAAAGTAACCGACTGTGACTAGTAATAACCAGATATATAGAGATTAGAAATGCATGTGCAAACATCTTAATGTCAATTGCATTAAAAATGAATTTTTCTGT